TGAACCGGCGACCTTCTTGCTGTGAGGCAACAGTGCTCACCACCGATTGAAACCAGAAGTTTATATATACTGTATAAAAATTCATAAAACCTTTGTTTTTTTCCTCACTGTCTGTCATTAAATCAGACCAAACTCTTCCTGTTGTTTGCTAACTTCCAGAATAATGAGAGAGAATTTTTTTTAGAGATGTTTTTAAATTACTTTCTTCAGAGTCAGAAGTTTACACACACTAAGATGGCTATGCCTTCAAACTATTTGGGAAAGCCCAGATGATGATGTCATGGCTTTGGAAGCTTTTGATTGGTTAATTGACAACATTTGAATTAACTGGAGACACACCTGTGGATGTATTTTTAGGCACACCTCAAACACACTGCTTCCTTTTATGACAACGTGGGAAATCTAAAGAAATCAGCCAAGATGTCAGGAAGAGAATAGCGGACCTCCACAAGTCTGGTTCATCCTTGGGTACAATTTCCAGATGCCTGAAGGTTCCACATTCATCTGTTCAAACAATTATATGCAAGTATAAACACCATGGGAATGTCCAGCTATCATACCGCTCAGGAAGGAGACGGGTTCTCTGTCCCAGAGATGAAGTGTTTTGGTGCCAAATGTGCGAATCAACCCCAGAATAAACGCAAAAGACCTTGTGAAGATGGTCAGAGAGTCATTATGTCATTATATTCTGTCATCCACAGTGGAACCAGTCCTGTACCAACATGGGCTGAAAGGCTACTCAGAGAGGAAGAAGACGTTACTCCAAAAGCAACATAAAAACACCGGATTACAATTTGCAAATGCACACTGGGACAAAGACGTTAATTTGTGGAGACATGTCCTGTGGTCTGATGAAACTAAAATTGAAGTGTTTGGCCTTAATGACCATCGTTACATTTGGAGGAAAAAGGGGGAAGCTTGCAAGCTGGAGAACACCATCCCAACTGTGAAGTACGGTGGTGGTAGCATCATGTTCTGCTGCAGGAGGGACTGGTGCACTTCACTAAATAGATGACATCATTAGGAAGGAACATTATGTGGAAATATTGAAGCAACATCTGAAAACATCAGTCAGGAAGTTAAAGCTTGGGCGCAAATGGGTCTTCCAAATGGACAATGACCCTAAACATACCACCAAATTAGTAACAAAGTGGTTTAAGGACAAGAGTTGATGTTTTGGAGCGGCCATCACAAAGCCCTGATCTCAATCCTGCAGAACAGTTGTGGGCAGAGCTGAAAAGG